CTAATTCACTTGACTGTTCTCCCTTAACTTTGCAATTTTACATATGAAACTCATGATTGTCATTGGTCATGACCCTAAATATGATTATATGAAACACATAATGGTCTAATGAAGTCATGCAATAGCTAATTTCATAGGCAAATACCTTAAGTGACTAAAACTAGGAGGACAAAATTAGTGAAGTAGGAATGAGCCATTGATGTTGTAGAGTTTAAATAATTGAAGAAGAACCAACCAATTAAGTGTTTAGAATTGGATTAAAAAGGTATGAGTGTTGATTTTGATTTATACAGAAGACGTAGGATGTAGTAAATGGGGACAAGTAGATGATTTGGTGTTATGATGCTCCTTATTTTGGTTTTGGATAAGTAGATGAGTTGGTGTTTAAATGCAAAGGATCTAACAACTTGATTAATGAAACCTTAACATATTATTTTAAAGCAAACACTCAACTATAAGATCACACTTATGAACAAAAAACATTAATGGAGCTCTCGGTCTACGAAGGAAAAAGCTAGACAATTGTAAATTACCACACTTAGATATTTTTAATTGGGCATCATTTGGACTTTTCGCCGTGGGCACCAAAAATCTCAGGACCGGCCCTGTTTAACAGTTGAGACATCTTCAACACTTGGCCTAAACGAAATTTACACAAACATTACATATGTTATTATAAAGATTAAGTTGCAAAATAAATATGGTTCCAGTTATAAAGTTTGTGACAAATTACTTATATAACAAATAATCACCCATAAAATTATCCAAGTATGAGTTAAGATACATGAAGCTTCACACACATACATCTAATTTCCACTTTTCTGAAACATACTCAAGAGTAATGCAATCACAAGGATATCACGATTCAGCAAGAAAAACAAGATGAATGAAATTTACATAAATCAAAGTCTCTTGTCGTTCGAGCATATCACAATTCAGCAAGATAAACGAAATGAACATGAAGGCAAAAACAAGGTGAAAAATAATTGTACCTGAACCGGAGAAGATCAAATCTAACAAGATGGACTAAGTTTTGAAGAAAAGCCAAACAAAAATCGATATTCTTGTAATTTTGGTACATCTTCACTTGTTCTAAATACGCCCAGGGAGAGGACAAGGAGAGGGATGGCAAGCCTCGGTGAGCAACGACGAGAAGAATTGAGCGACATCAAGGGAATGGGTGTGAGCAACCAATCGGAGGTGAGAGGCGAGGGATGGTGATTTGCCCCGACCCGATAAGGAACCCGGTTCACCCGACCCGAACGGAGACGGGGATTCCCCGCTAAAATGGGTCCTGGGGCCGGGGATCCCCATAAGACTCAAACCGGGGACGGGGGATGTTATTCAAACTGGGGCAGGGTTCCGGCATCAAACTACATAATACTTTTTATAGGGTTTGACCGGGGTTTTACCGGGTTTTGACCGGGGATTGTTAAAATTTGACCGGGGACGGAATGATAATCCCCGTACCCGTCGGGGACCGGGGCCGGGGGACGTTATTACAAACCGGGGCCGGAGATTACAAAACCCGACGTATTCCTGCCCTGTTGCCATGCCTATCATAGAGCGGGAGAAAACTAGGGCTAGGAATTAGTTTATATGTAAAGCCCCTTTTATTGAATTTTTTAAAATAAAAAAACCTTTGTTTTTAGTGACGATAATAAAAACGTTACTAAAGCTTTTGATTCAACTTTTAGATACTTTTCTTAGAAAAAGCATCTTTAAAAGTTTTAGAAATGTTTTTCTTAGTGTCATATTTGACTTAAATTCCTTCTTTAAAAGTCTTACTACATTCGGTTACGTTTCTTATTTTTGTTATCTTAGTTTATGTTTCTTATTTTTGTTATCTTAGTTCAATTCTTCTCTAAAATATATATTTAGATACATTTTCAAAACCTTCTCTTAATGTTCCTTCTCTAAAACCCATTTCTTTTGTAGTGAGCCTACAATATCACCTGTTAAAGCAACATTGATTTCCTTAAAAAGTTTTGAAATACTATTTCATTTTTATTAAAAACTTCAAATTTTTCTTGCTATCACATTTAAGAGTCCTACGAGATAGCTTTAGGTTATCGGTTGAAATGTGTGTTGAATCAATTTGTGATAAGGAATTGTTGAAATCGTTAAAAAAAGTACAATTCACATTGAATCGAGTCATATGGTTTTATCAACAGTTGTAGGGTTATGAGTTTCAAACGGGTTTATTGCTAATAAAATTGATTAAAGTTTCAAAAAGACTGCATGATGTTTAAATTATGTTTTTAATTAAATTACAAACTATCCAAAGAAAAAAAATATGTCCTTGGAAGATGAAGGCTTTCAACAAATCAATCATATGATTATATCATTCTTTTTCATTTTGTACGTCTTCTATTCATTTTTTCCCTATAATTTAACACGACAAATTATGGCATTTTCACCCTATAGACACCAAATGGACAACCAAAACACTGATACATAATTGTCGCCACAACATAGTGTTCTCATTCTCATGTGAATGTTAATTAGTTATGATTGCTTCGAAAATAAAGAAATACAAGACTCACAAAGTAGAGCTTTGCGTAGAAAAGTAAATGAGTTGAGTTGGTCGGGTTGTATATATTTAAATAATCCAACCCAACTATTTCTGCTTAGAAAATCTTAACCTATTCAAAACTGTTTTTAGATTAAAAATATGGTTAAATTAAAAAAGAAAAACTAAAAAAACTAAAAGTTGAAGGAAATAAAGTATAAATGGTTACTTAATCATCCAAAACATTACAGTAACCCAATATAAGTCTAAACATAAATTTGAAGACATATTTCACAATGAAAAATGACGTTAATTTTGCAGGGTTGGATGAAGTGGAGCATGACCATAACCCACCCCAACCATCTCGTTATTTAGATTTTAGGCATCAATTAATTATATTTTGGTTTGTCATGTTGTGCTCATACGCATATTTTTTAAAGTTGGTCTGTCGGATTTTCCTTAAAATTAACAAAGAAGGGAACACAAATAAAAATAGATAAATGGAATCTTAGTCGTAACCATGGGCTCACCTATTAGTAGTTGAGCGGCCTTCTTTCGACCGTTCATTCAATTATTCCAAAGAAAAGAAATTAAGCGTCAGAAAGATG